ATTGGAGCTTTTTCTGAGATGTCAGGGCAAAAATGATTCTTAGGGATCACATATATGTAATTTTCTGAATGAACCTGAAAAGAAACGAAAGTCTATATAGTTTCTTTTGTTTAAGAGATTCACACGGTGGGAAGAGATGTCTGCAAAGGGCAAAAAAGAAAAAAAAAAGTAGCTGGAATACCCCCTAAGTAAAGGGTTGGAGAGCCCCAATTAATCAGACTGCCCTGAGTTTGGGAAAGGAGCCGTTAGAAACGGGGCTGTGAGCAGGCGCGCAGAACCCAGCGCTGGAGATGACTCGCCGCCACCTCGACTTTACAGATAACACCCACTTAATTTACAGCTAACCTGCGGCTTTCCAGTATGAGTACAATTATATTTTGTCTTCATGTTTCTTCAGTTAATTGTGTAATAAAACTTGACCAGGCCTTTCAGATGCCCGTCTTGCCTCTAACGGGCCTCTGAAAATCATTTTATCAGAGGATTTCTGAATTTGATATTCTGTTTTCTAAGCCTAATAAAAGGAATTGTAGCAATAGGCTGGGGCCCAGTTCATTGATCCCCTCTGTGTGAGTATTTTAGGAAGGGATGGCTCTAAAGTTTACCGAGTGCTTGGCACCTGTTGGACCCTCTGCCTCCTTTCCCTGGTGTCTGCTCAGCCGTTAGGTGATGCTGGGGGTGGAAGAAACCTCCAGGACCGCTGGGGGCCCCCAGACCCACCTGCCGTGGGGCCCCGACGGCCGTGAAACAGGCTGCCGGAGCTGGGCCAGATCCTCCGCCTCCGCCTCTCAGCTCCAGTGCGCGTTTTTCACGCAAGACTATGGGCCTCGGACCATCAGAACTTCCCTTTTTTAGTTTTTCTTTTTTCCAAGGGGAACAAGAAATTAGAATTTTTACGTGAAGTCCCCAGTTTGCTTGACCAGCTCAAGATTTAGAAATAAATCAATAAATAATGTGCGGATGAAAGAAAACACCCCTACGCGCCCGATTTGATTGTCTGGCTTCTGGGAAAGGAGACCCAGGCTGGTTACGTAGCTCACCTGCGGCCCGGGTGGGATAGTGACGGTCATTGCCGCTGCGCCCGGATCCGTGTGATTTGTGGGGCACAAGGGGACCAAGGAGAACCTCTTAGATCTTGGAGAGTGGGCAAGATTAAAAGGGGAGGAATATGTAACTGTGTTGTGTGGACTTCCCATTCTCCATCTTATTTTGGTGATTAAAACAGCAGTACTTGCATGTTTTCAATGATGATGTAAAGCCACGTGGTTTAGCGCGTGACCACCGAGGGACAGTGTAAGACAGCCTGCCCACTGTAAGGTGGCCCCAGTATTAGTTCTTGCTTCTGCCTCACTGATGCGGAGTTGAAGGTTGGGCCTTGCTATAATATGTGCGGTGCGATTAGTGTCCTACAGATCGGGGTGCTTTTAAAGTGACTGCGAATCCTGAGACTAGTTCCCTGATCATCCGGGCCAGTCCTGGACCCNTAAGCCACGTGGTTTAGCGTGTGACCACCGAGGGACAGTGTAAGACAGCCTGCCCACTGTAAGGTGGCCCCAGTATTAGTTCTTGCTTCTGCCTCACTGATGCGGAGTTGAAGGTTGGGCCTTGCTATAATATGTGCGGTGCGATTAGTGTCCTACAGATCGGGGTGCTTTTAAAGTGACTGCGAATCCTGAGACTAGTTCCCTGATCATCCGGGCCAGTCCCGGACCCTGTAAATGCACAACCCGAGCGCCCCGCAGAGGGAGGTCGGACAGGGTCACTGTGCATGGGAGAGGGGGACCCAGGGTCAAGGGACCTGAGTGACCTCAGGACAGGTGTGGGGTCAGCAACAGGGCTGGCGGGACCCTTGCTGACATCGTCACCCCCACAACACAGGAGGGCCTCTCTGGAGTACCCCAAAGCACCGTCCCGGGTCTCCAGACGGGAGCAAAAGGCCACCTTTGGGAACAGACAAGAGCGTGACTCAGAAAGATTGACTCAGAAAGATCGTAGGACCGAAGACATGACTCTGGCCTGTCACAGGGTGAAAATGGCAACTTCCCCAGCAAGATGGGAGGGGAAGTTCAAGAGGGGTGAGCGTCAGCCCTGCCACTGCGCTGGGCTCTTCCCTGCCCGCAGCCGGGCTCCTCAGAGACCAATTCCGCCAAACCGCGGGGAGCCCCCCACCTCGCCGGCCCCTGGGGAATCCGCGCCCGATGAAACCATCCGCACGAAGCGGGGTGACCGGAGCCAGGCCCCCGGCATAACTGCTGCGAAACAGCTGCTCATTGAAACGCGAGTGTGAGTGTCTGCGGGGCTGGGGTACTGGGTGTCCGCGGAGATCCGCAAGTGGCCGGGCAGGTCTAGACAAAGGGAAGGTCCACGGCTTTCACCGTGTGAACGTGTCATTAGTTCCCTGTCGCTCCCACGTGTTTCAAATTAATGCGTTCAGCAGCCTAATAATTAAAATGTAGGTTTTGAGCAGTAATGGGATTAATGTTAGTAATAGCGTCTTTTCATTTTGAATCATTTGATTAGATCCGAGTTTAATACTACATTAAAATTTATAGATTTATTTAAGCAGTCATTCATAAGACTTTAATTATATAGATAGCTCACTTTGCATATTCTATTTTGCTTCCTGATCTTAAAATATAGATTATTTTAAAACCTAAACTAGTTTTCAAGTATCTCAAAAGCTTAAAGATTGTTGCCGTGGAACGTTGCTTTATGCCGATTAAGTTTTTTTTCCTATTATTTCATTAATATCGCATCAATATCAAGCAGGGGAATGGGGTAAGTAGTTCCGGCGTCACCCCTACCTGGGGGCATTTCTTCTCAGGTAATGTCACATGGCACAAAGAGCTGTCCCCTGCTCAGGGGCTTCCCGGTAATCTGAACCCCCAAACGAAGGCGTGCATTTTACTACACACGCAGCTCCCCGGCCCGCCCCTGCCTGTTGCCTCATATCCCTCCCGATTTTTCCCAGTACAGCCACGCATACATCCTCTCCCTAACCGCAGAGGCGAGGTCACGGCACACATCACGTATTCTAACTTGCATTTTCAGTTTAACATTCTGTTGATTTTTTCCAAACCATTACACTTTTTTTTAAAACATAATTTTTAATGACTTGGAAGTATTATGTAGACGGACTGTAATTTATTTAACCAGTCCATTCTTGTTGAGTTTTTTTATCTTCTTAAGAATAGATGACGTTCATATAGGTGAAGTTTTGCTTACATTCGTAATCACTTCATTAGGGTAAATTCCAAAAAATGTCATCGTTACGTTAAGAAGAATATAAAGTTGACATATTTACGGAAAGGCATGTTCCGTGACCACACACTTTATGTTCAGATTAGCCATGTCCCTAAACCCTCAACAACAAACTGTATTATTATTATTATTAATTATTTCTTTGTCAATATAACAGGAAAACAGTACTCCATTGTTTTAATAGGCGATTCTTTGGTGATCACTGAGGTTGAATATTATTTTATATGTTTCTGGTTATCTAAACAGAGAGACGTCGGAGGGAAACTTTCTAAAACTAGCCCTGTGCAGAGGACATGAATTCCGTCACCTTGGATGTATCCTCACTCTAGCTGTACATAAATGATATTGAATATATAGAAATATAATGTTTAGGTCAGTCAAACATTCTGATCAAATTTCCTTTTAAAATAAAAAATAATTGATTTAGCTGAAAATTATGGGACTAATTGTCACGAGTAGATGCAAATGGATTAGGCGAGTTCATTTTCTCTGCAAGATATAATGTAAAATACTAATCTTAATGGTGCTTCCTCTATCCTTTGATTAAGTATTATAATTGGAATATACTTAATCCTTTCAGGTTTTGTGCATTTACCTTTTTTTCAAAAAGAAAAGTAATTCAAATGAGACTTGAATTGAGAATATTTTTATCTATCCCTGATCTTCAAATACATATTAAATGATCATTTATGTGAAACAGGTCCGTTCAGTCAAGAGGCTTTAAGTGGTATTGGCAGGAAATGGGACGTATTAAGATTGAGTTGCCCATTGCTGAGTAACAAATGACCCGGCCGACCTCTAGCATCTTAAAACAAACATTTATTATCACACATTTTCCAAGAATCAGAAAGCCATGCATAGCTGTGGGGGGACTGTGTGTGTCTGGTTCAGGGTCTCTCATGAGGCTGCAGAGAAGCTGTTGGCCAGACCTGCACCCTGAGGACTCGGTGGGGTGTGGGGGCCCTGCTTCCAGGTCCCCGCACTGCTGGTGGGCGGGTGGGGCCTGAGCTCCTCTCCAGAGGCCTGTGGGGAGGGCCGCTGGGGTCTGGGGGCCCTGCTTCCAGGTCCCCGAACTGCTGATGGGCGGGTGGGGCCTTAGCTCCTCTCCAGAGGCCTGTGGGGAGGGCCGCTGGGCTCAGAGGCGGGGGAGGGGAGAGAAGTGTTCATTTAGAGTAAAGGGTATCACTCCAGGTAATTATTTACCATAAGCTATTGGGCACAGCTGAACATAAATGGTGCCTGTGTTGAGCGGATCGGAAACCATCCATTTCCTGGAACCGTCAGTAGCCTTGTTCGGAATTACATAATCTTCGGATGGCTAACCCTAATATAGTTTAAAAGAAAGGCCTAATTCTTTACTTTCTCAAAGAATTCCTCCCATCCGCAGTGTTTTCTTAAGGATTTAAATCAGACTCCTCTGTTAATTTTAAATGGAATGAAGAAATTTGAGTATAGAAACGCCTGATCATTTTTTTGATGCATGAATCTTCTTTCCTTCGGGTACTTAGCTTTAATAACAAAACTCTTTATCCCTCTTTGTTTTTAATTTTGGTGAGGTTTCAGCATGACTTTCCCTCCAGAGCATTACTTCCACAGTAACTCAATAAGTAGGATCCATGCCATGGATTCATGATTCGTGATTCTGTAATGCCTTTAATGGGGCCTATTTCGTTGTGGAATTTCTTTTTGTTTTCTTAAAGCAGCTGAGACATAACTGATTGTACAACCTTGTCTCATTCTAGGTCCCCTAAAAACCCCGGACAGAAGATCATTAAGAGAGTGATCGCCCTCGAAGGAGATATTGTGAAGTAAGTGCTTAAAACTGCTGTTTTTGAGTTAAAGTTATAAATATCTACATTTCTGTTGAGTCTAAAATCATAGTACATGGGAAGTACATTTCGGAGAGGACCAGCGCTTTGGCGACATCCCAAATGCGGTGGCACATTCAACCATTTCAGGATGTAGGACACACATAGACTTACTGGTCCTATTACTATCCTTTGACTGGGAGGCAGGGGGGAAATAAACAGTAATCACACTGAAATGAACCGTGTTTTCTAAAATGATCATTAAATCAGTGTCTTTCAGGTACTGAAATTAGCACGATTATTTTAGATTACGATGTAAAGCTTCATTTTAGAAACATTTTATTATTTTAGAAGCAAATACCTAAACTAAGGGGGAGCTTTTATTATACTAGAGATGGGGGGAGATGGGAAAAGATGGGAAATAAGCTTCTGACTCGGTCACAAAATAGTAGCTTTAGAAAATAGCCTTGTGGCAATCCGGTGTTTTAACCATGTGGACTAATGTGTAGAACTTGTTCTACCTGCTGAGAAATGCAGAGCAATGTTTGAGATTCCGCAAGTCGGTTGATGTGGCACGATGCGTGTCGTTTCGACTCTTACCTTAAATAGATTGTAGCCAGGTGTACACAACNTCTGACTCGGTCACAAAATAGTAGTTTTAGAAAATAGCCTTGTGGCAATCCGGTGTTTTAACCATGTGGACTAATGTGTAGAACTTGTTCTACCTGCTGAGAAATGCAGAGCAATGTTTGAGATTCCGCAAGTCGGTTGATGTGGCACGATGCGTGTCGTTTTGACTCTTACCTTAAATAGATTGTAGCCAGGTGTACACAACGTGAGAGTCTAAATGCTCGGAAAACTACATTCGGATCCTGTGTTCCGATCCTGTGTTTTGAAAAAGCTGGATCCCTGCGTATCTGTATGGATGACAGTGCAGATTAAACCACCTCAGTAAAATGAACCTCGGTGGGCTCGAGAGTCCAAATGCGTGCGCTGATCTATAACAGGGACAGTAATAGTGTCACCCCAATAAATTCAATTAAAAAAAGTTAGCCAGAAGAAAGATTGAAAAAAGACAAAAGAAAAAAGCTAGTGAAAGTGATATTTCACAGACCCGTTAGTTCCACCAAAACTTTTTTCGTAGTTATTTGCTTTTTTTCTATGATTTTGTTGTGACCGATACCTGCGTAGGAGCACTGCTTTATAAAAGTATAAAAAGGCCACCAAGTCCCAAAGCGCAGCAGTCAGGGTGATGACCCACTGTCGACATGTCGAAGGCGTCGGTGTTTTCCGCTGGGACACTTGTGCGTCGGCCCCGTGGGTTTTGCAGCCGGCCCGGAGCGGAGCCCAGCGTCCCGTTTCCTCTCACCTGTGAGTCACACTCCGCGCACGCTGGGCCTGGGCTTCCGAGCAGTTAGCAACTTTAGTGAGACGGAGTCGCCGTTTGAGTCCCCAGGGAATGGTGTGGCCACATGATGTGTTGCCTAAAGGGGGACGTGTCTGAGAGCGAAGAGGGGTGACATTAATAGGGGACATTCACAGCACGGCCAGGTCAAACCGCCGCAGACGGTCACCCCACCAGGGAAATGTAATCGACTCTTACGAATCACTTCACATGATTTGATTTTGTGTAGACCTGACCCTCCTTGTTCAGGAGGATTCCAAGGAGTGGGCATAGAAACCAGGGCCTGCGCCCTGGCCGCAGGGGCGGGGGCTGTGCCCGGGCTGGGTCAACACGGCGGAAACCAGGTCCTGCTTCCAGCACAGTCACCTTTATGCCGGAAAGATTGTCTCCAACAAGTGTTGACACGGCCAAGTAGGCTCAGGTAGAGCATCTAGAGACTATGTTGTAAAATGTCAAAACACCCCAATTTATTAAAAATAACTTTCTGGTATTAGCAAAAAAACCCCCAAGAACACAACAACAATAGCAAAAATCCATCGAATCACTAGAAATTAAACATTTCAAAACTTGTTGGGCTCAAATATCCTATTGAAGATGCTGAAATCAATATTAGCCCATCACAGAGGTTTGAATCACATCATGGCCCAGCAAGTGAGAAAGCTTTTATAGGAGGAAAAACAGAACGGAATTGAGTTTTTCCCAGTAAGATGAAAAACGGCGCTTGTTCAGTAGCTTCTCTTTCTTATGGCCGGTGCAGCAGCTCTGAGGGTAGGAGCCCGATGTAGCCGCCTGGCTCTCTGCAAACCGCGCGCTGACTCAGGGCATTTCGGTAGGTGAGGCCTCGGGATGCGCGTGTCCTAAGTGGAAGCGCAGGAGGAGATGGAAACTTGAGAAGAAAAAAACTGGTGTCCGGGAAAGCGATTTGTGCACAGAATATCCTAGAACGCTCTAGGCCGTGGAAGCTGATGGGAGCTGGGCAGGTGGTGGCTTTTGCGGACCCGCGGATGTTTATACACGGGGCCTCGGCCGGCGGGAACTCGGACAGAAGGTTTGCAGAACCTCTGAGGCCCTGCAGCCTGGTTTGACATGAACCCTGCGTTTGTCCAGATCCAACCGGCGGGCGCGTTCCGGTTGAGTCCTGAAGGCCTGGCTGGAGCAGTGGAATTGAGTGGCCCGGGGCCTGTGCCACAGTGTAGTTCCCACTGACTAAGAAGCAGTTGTGAAAAGCATCTGGTTGACACCAGAGGAGCTACGACACCTAGACGGCCGTGACACCTGGACAAAACCACTTATAGGAGGCTAAAGGCAAGGACATGAACAGGAACATTAAAGCAGTGTCCTCGCCACGTAATATTTTAATATTAAACTCTCTATATCAGGAAGGACGTATTAGGACCGTCCTGTCCCTGCGAGGCCATCCGTGGGCTGAAATGGCCGGGGTGCGCAGGCGGGAAGCCCGTGGACTTAGCTTGACTGGGACACGGCCGCGGAGGCTGGCAGGACGCTCTGACCCGCTGGCGGCCCACACCCCCTCCTCTCCGCGAGGCGGGACTCCGTCTGCCACAGCGACACCTTTGACTCGGCTCCCTTCTGTCCCCTTGGCCGGCTTCGGGGCTTCGCCCTCCAGGATGCGTGAGCCGCAGTCCACACGGAGGACACGCGCTGCGCTCCGGAGTCCGGCCCTCGCGGGAGCGTGTCCCGCGTGGAGCGTGGCCCGTGTGGAGCTGGCTGCTGTAGTAGCCCCTTTCGGCTGTTGCCTTAATCACATTTCTTAGTGGCGCAACTTTCTGAAGTTGTGAACACCAAGTAAAAAATACAGAGAAATGCTAACTTTTGACGCTCCTTTGAACTAAATATTATTGATTTTTAGTTTTTTCTCTGCTCAGTCATGAGAGTCTGTCAAATATTTTGAAAAGATGTATATGTGTAATTATCGCAGTAGGAAGCTGAAAAGCTTGTCTTAAAATACCCTTTTAACTATGCTTTAGAAGCATGTTAGAAAGATTCAAGACACTTTCAGCCTGAATAATTACTTAATAATTAAGGAGCAGATAGCTCCTCTATTTTTGTGCCATGTCAGTTGACCTTGCTTAAACTTAAAATTGACCACAGTTTCTCTCAAAATGTTTGGAGAAAGAGTTTCATGCAGGGAGCAAGTGTGTTTAAAGTATTGATTTAATTAGTTGCGGATGCTCTTAAATTTTTATAAAATTATTTGTATGGTTTTTTTAGATGCCCGAGGAAAATGGTAGAGTGGGTGTCACCCTGGGAGTAAGACGATAAGAGATGTAGTCTCCGCTCCGGTCTTTGCACGCTGTGTGACCCTGGGAAAGTTACTGAGCACTCTCAGTTTTCCTTTTCAGTTTCTCTATTTTCAGGGTTCTTTTGAAGACAAAATTAGGAAAAATAATATATGTACCGATCCTTTGTAAACTTTAGCACACCATCAGGCATTACTGTATTAGTAACTAATTTTCTGTGTGAAATAATGGATGTAATGGGGTTAGCACGGAGCTAACCAAGAGCCTAGCAGAATGCCTTGCCCATTTTAGGTTATTAGTTTTTTTGGTTCTCATTGAAATAATTTGATTATACTGCTAGGTTAAGACAAAGGTCCATAGTTTATGAACCCTGAAGTTGGAAGAAAAACATTTTTATTTATTTTTAATTTTTAAAAATTTTAAAAATCTTTATTAGTGAGAGTATTACACATGTCCCCCATTTTTCCCATTGCTCCCCCCACCCAGTTCCCACCCTGCCCTAGGCCTTTAGCACACTATTGTCTGTCCATGGAATATGCATATATGCATATGAGTTCTTTGGTTACTCTCTTTAAAAAAAAAAAATATCATTACTGATTTCAGAGAAAGGGAGAGGGAGAGACAGAAACATCAATGATGAAAGAGCGAGAGACAACCAGATGGCTCAGGTGACCCTGGTCCCCACTACCTCCCACAACCACATCAAAACTACAACTAAAATACAGAACCAGAGTCACTCAGAACCTCCTGAAATCTAGCTGAACAGAAGCCCTACAGCCAGGGAACTGAATAAGGCCCACAGCAAGACACATCATAATTCAAATGCCAAAGGTTGAAGACAAAGAGAGAACCTTAAAAGCAGCGAGAGAAAAGCAATTAGTTACCTACAAGGGAGCACCCAGACGACTGTCAGCTGATTTCTCAACAGAAACCTTGCAGGCCAGAAGGGAGTGGCAAGAAATATTCAAAGTGATGAAAAACATGGAACTACAACCAAGATTGCTCTACCCAGCAAAGCTGTCATTTAGAATTGAAGGTCAGATAAAGAGCTTCACAGATACGAAAAAGCTAAAGGAGTTCATCACCACCAGACCAGCACTACAGGAAAAGTTGAAGGGTCTTCTTTAAGAAGAAGCTAAAGAATCTGATGAACTAAATAGATCCAGAGACATTGACGCAGGCAATAGACAATCATATTTCAGAGGGAAGAGGGAAGGGGGGTGGAGGGTGGGAAGAGATTAACCAAAGAAGTTATATGCATATATGCATAACCCATGGACACAGTCAATAANGTGAAGGCCTGGGGAGGGGGTGGGAGTGAGGTGGAGGGGGCC